GTCCGCGCCCGAGTAGCCCTCGCAGAGATGCGCGTTCTGGGCTGCAAGAGGGAGAGCCCGCGAGGGGCGCCGCTCAGCTCGGAGGCGGCCCCGAGAAGCCGCGAGTCGGGGCTGGAAGGAGGCGGTACCTGGCTGGAGGAGGACCGGCGGCGGCAGCAGCAGGAGCCAGAGCAGCATCTTCCCCGCGGCGCCCAGGCGGAGGCAGCCCGGACTGTCTGCTCTGCGGAAGGGAAGGGAAGTCAGGGCAAGCCAGGGAAACCACACGGACCTGCCCGGCTCCCACATCCATTAGCAGGCACCTCCCTGTGCTATTAGGCCCTGCTGCTTTTAGCCCTTGCCTCCGTGGGGACTCTGCCAGACTGGCGGTGGAGAGGATCCATTAGGGAAAGGAGTCTGCTAATGGGGGTCCTGGACCTGGCCTGCTCAGACAGCGCCACGCAGGTGGCTTGGAGAGGAAAAAGTGCCCCCCCATGCCTTTAGATTAAAGGCCTCAGAAGGTCCTCGCGCACACGCCAGGCCTTTTCCAAAGCCAGCACTGGAAGGAGAGACAGGATCTCAAAACATCCCCTTATTTGCTGGAATCATAAAGCTGGAAGGGGCCACTTAGGTAAGCAGAGTCCAAGCCCTGCTCCGTGTTGCCTTGCAATGTCCATCTTTTATTTTGTGCCGGCCTTTCACACACAATACTGATGTGGTTTTGTCCTGAGTGTTGCCTTATAAAGTACCAGCGTGACAGTCAGTATGCCATCCTTCAATCTTTTCCTAGGAATTACTTTTATTTCCCCCGCCTATTCCCCAGATTTGGGGTATCTCAGCCAGAACTGGGCAATTCTTGATGTGGGGTCTGACCAATGCCAAAGGAGGAAGAATAAAGGAGAACCCAAAGTAAACGTTAGGTCTGTGCAGCGATTCAGATTTGCAAGGAAATTTTTATTTGGGGCATGTGTTGGATACACAGGTTGCACGTTTTGCCATTTCTTTAAATCAAAAGTCTGAGAAAACCTGTAGGTTCTTTATGAAGTTGCCAACAGATGTAGTGTGTTAATCTCTGTGTGCTAGGAATTACACTTGGAATCCGGTCCCCCTCCCTACCTCCCACAGCGATTACTGCTGCTGGGTAGCAAAGACAAGACACAAGTGCACACTTTCACATCCTGTTCATTGAGTTAATGCAGCACAAATTGAGCAACACAGAAAACAGTGGCTTGCTTTCCCCTCCTTCTCCTAATGTAATCAACATCCCTGCAAACCAAGAGAGATTCCAAAATCTAATTTAGGCTTCTTAGTGTTTGCCGTATGCATTACTTACAACTCTTGCATCACATGCTGAAAACTGCCTATGGGCAGGTAGACCTCTTAAGATCTATTTACACCAGTGGTCTAATTAGTAAGAGACTATGACCTAGGAGTGGCAGCCCACCCATCAACATGTTTATAAACATATTGTATCCAGAGAAGAGCCCTGTTGCAAAGACATAACCTTGCAGAAACAAAACAGGTGAAGAGCAGAGAGAGATGCTCTCGGTGCTACCTCCCCGGTTCCAGGTCGTGCCCATGGCAATTGGAAATACCCTTGAGGCAGGTGCCTGAACAGGAGGAACAGCTTCCTAAGATCAAAGCTGGTCTTGTGGCAGGAGCTGTACTGCTCCTTGACAACAGCTGCACCAGTCCTGCAGGCCTCAATGCCATCGAATTTGCAAGAGGCCTTCTGGAGTCACAGTGGCTTTCTTCACAAAGTATGCTTACCCAGAGTTGGCTGAATCATGGTTTACTCCAACGTGTTTTCTGGTTTTGCACGACACACTGAACTGTAAACTAAGCACATGGGCTGTGTGCACAAGTGCTATGCAAAAACACACCGTTGTGCCATGAGAACCCAGGCGGCACATCCCAAAAGACAGCGTGGGAGTCCCTTGGCCAGGGAGATAGAGCCGTTGGGTCAAGAGCTGCTGCTCAGCTGCATTTTCTCCACTTCTGCAGGCAGCTGGGGTGGCAGTGGGTGGAACAGAGTCTCTAAACCGTTGGGCTCTATTAACCGCAGCGCAGTGGCAGGAAATTCCTGCCTTGAATTCAAGGCAGGAAAGGGAGCAGAGAAAAGTATAGGAGTTCCCTGTCTTCATCCAAAATGAAACAGCAGCCGTTTGTGCAGACTCACCTTTGTGCTAGCTAAAGGCTGTCTTGGATCAAGCTGCAGCAGAGATTCGGGGAAAACGCCTTGCTTGGATCACAGCAAGGTGCTTTTTCTTTCCTTCTATAGCTGTCAGCATTTCTCTTTTAGGAATCCACACTCTGGAGAAAATACTCAGTCCTAAAGGAAAAGGTATGGGCAGCTGCTACCTGACCCTGAGTGGCTTGCCCCCTAACCCCTGCTCACAGGCCTTCAGTCCCTCCTCCTCACTCTACTTTCTGGCAGAAGCATGTCCAGAGATGAGGGCGTTGCTTCGAGCTGCAGGCAGAGGCTGTCCTTGTCCTGCCTTCTGTTCTACAGTGTTTGCTATACCATCACTTTTGTTGTGCACGTCCAGGAGCTGTCAAACCAAGTGCACAGGTGGTTCCCAGAGCAAGGGAAGAGCAGAAGCAGGGGTCTTCACTGTTGCTCAAACAATGTCACCCATCTCTCCTCACAGCATAGCCCGCTGCCCTCCATGCCAAGCTAAGACCAAACTCTGGAAGCAGTGCCATGAGTCCTCTGGGCACCAGCAGCACCCCAGGCTATTTGTGCAGCCTCAAGGACCCAGCTGCCTGAGTGTCTCGTCTTTGTATCTGCCTGGTATGGAGCAATGTCCTTTGGGACAGCTGTGGCCAGAGGAGGAAGAAAGTCCACGGGCAGAAATGCCATTCCCAGTGAAGTTCAGTCTGGGCTATCCAAGGCGAAGACGGAAGGTGGCAATCTCCATGGGGTCAAGGTGGATGGTGGTGCTGTTGGGGGAGGCTATGGCCAGTGGATACATCAGCGTCAAAGAAGAGGGCTGCAGGGAGATCAGGTCCAGACCCTGGAATAGGCTGCCAAGGGAAAGCTGGGGAGCAAGAGGCAAAAGCTAAGGGTGGAAACGCCCAGCAGAGAAGAACCAAGCTCCCTCTTAATTTCCTAAAGCAACCTCACACAAACCTCCCCCCACCAGTGAACGCTCCATCCCTAGTTCTTGTCCCTCTAGGGCAACTGAGAACATCCAGACGTACCACACCCTGGGTGGTGGTGCAATTGAAGCCCAAATTCCTGGCCTCCAGGCCACAGTCAAAGCCCTTCCGGTGAAGAATCAGAGCTACCTCAGTTGACGGCAAAGAATCATCCTGGGAAGAAGCAAGCCTGTGTATCACATGGAAGCCCAGGGACTGCTGGAAAGCACCATCTGCTCGGTAGGCAGGGAAGGTTAGGGAAGTGGGCAAGGGTCATCTAGGCTGAGGGCTTTCCTTCTTTCCTCAGCTCTGCCCCGGCAGGACTCACCTCTCCTTGCAACGTTCGAAGGTTGAGAAGGTGGAAGTCGCAGGGCACAGTGGTCGAAAGAGGCAGAAAAGACTTCAGTGCTGGAGGGGGCAGTTTTTCCTGGACAAGTGGCATGGCCAGAACCTCAGCGTTCAGGTGCATGGAGGTCATGTGACTGAGCAGAGATGGAAAGCTCGTGGGCTGGTTCTCCTGGGCCTGCAGCAAGAATGAGAGAAGACTGGACGCAGCAGCAAAGGCCATGGGAGCCTCAGCTAAGAGGCTCGTTCAGGGGCCCGATGGTCCCACAGGAGCCCTCCAAAGTTGCCAAACTATTGGCTACTAAGCACTAGGCTGGGCTTACACACACACACAAACAGGGCGGGGAAGGGCCAAACTACATCACAAGACCAGATTTTACCTCTGGGCTTTCAGCCTTGCTGCTGGGGAAGACCAAGTCTCTCAGCATGGAGGCCAGTTTGGAAAAGAAGCTGGAGCTCTGGGGATGGGGGTAGGGGCGATGAGAATAGTAGGTTACCAGAGCGAAGGTCACTGCCTCAGGTCTACATCCCTCATGGACAGCTTTTGGTCACTGGTCATTTCCGGCGACAGTCCCTGACAGGGCTGAAGAGGAGCTGGCTCTGTATCAGTGCTTCCTGGGGCTATTTCTGCAGGATCCACCTACCTGCGTGCCTTTCTTTTCCTCAGATTAAGGCAGCAGGAAGCATGGATCTGTCTGGACTATCTCCTCTTGGGCTTCCTTTTATCTGCCTTGCTCTTAGCCCCTCTCTCAGGCCTTAATATCTCTTAGATGGATCTCTATATTTATTCCCAATAGAAACTTATCCCTCATTTTTTAATCTCCTCATTGGTTACTGATGGATCTTCTTTTCTCTGCCACTCCTGTTCTGGATTGTAGCTTGAAATCTGCCACGTGTATAAAATCACATCCGATAAGAAATGCTGACCACTGACTGGATGAAAGGAATGCTTTCTACTTTCTCTTCTGAAAAAGAGTGAAAGCATTTAAAGGGTGATGCATTTCACCTGGAAGAAGAGGAGATGGAGAGCATCAAAGCAGAGGGAATGGAAGGAAGAGGGAAGGCCACAAGGCTAGTTCAAAGTCTTTTCTTTTGCCACAGGTTACATAGGACTATGTTTAATGCACGAGATCTTCAACTCTGGGATCACGGCCAGGACTGCTCTGGTTTCCCAAATTCAGAGGAGAAAATTGGCTGGGTGCTTGATGGTGAGATGGGAGGTTTGGCCATGGAGGGACTTAGGACAATTTGCCAAACCCCTTCTGAATATGTGGGTCAATGAGATCTGTCTGCAGGCACGCAAAAGAATTCCCCAAGAAGTCAGATCCAGCTGGGGCAGCATCAAGGCTTCATACCTTGTTTACTGGGCTGAGTCGTTCCAGCAGGAGGCGGAAGCGGTTACAGGTCTGCTTGTTATCCTTCAGACCCTGTCCTAGTCCACGGTTATCATCTTGCATGAGACGCCGATCTAAAATCACCTCTAGCTGGCCTGCCAATTGGTGGAGAGAAAGGAAAGGCCCCCTCAGGGGGTGCCCGTCACATAGTCAGGATCCCTCTGAGCGCCACAGAAAGGAGGTCTGCTGTGCAAAATTAGCAAACTAAGCATTCTCCCTCTTGACCTTCTCCCAGGCCTCAGCCACAGCTCTCGTCCTTCTGAGTTGCCAAGCCTGGCCGCTGGGCACTTCTGAAGTCTGTTGTGCCCGTTCCATCACACTCACCGCTGCTGAGGCTGGAGACCCCCAAGGCCTGGGCTGTGTGCAGAGTCAGGCGGCTCTGCGTATCCTGGATGTAGGCCATGACTGGCATGGGATAGAAGTTGGCCTGGAGCGGCAGCTTCTTCAGGTACTGCCGGGGCTGGATCTGCGGGGCAGTCACAGTTGGCAAAGGGAGTGGGTGGCTTCTGCAGCTATACTAGGGATGGGGCAAAGGGCGGGTCCAAGCTTTCTTCCAGCTGTTTACCTGAAAGCCATTTAGGTCAGTGAAGAAACTGTCCTTATTCTCAATGCTGGTGCTGAAGCGCAGGGCCAGTTCCCTGTTGACGTGGTCTCGGATGTCAACCAGGCAGGAGATCTCCAGAGACAGGCCATCGACCCCTGTGGCCAGAAACGCAACATGAAGGGGGCTGCGCTGCCCTGCACAACCGCAGCCCCATCCCCACAGCACAGCCCAGGTTCTCACCTGGCACATTGTAGAGCCGGACCACCTCTTGGACGTGCTGGTAGTAAATGGCTGCTTCTGAAAAAAAGGGCCCCTCAGTCACCCGCACCACCGGTGGGTCCTTGGGGACGTAGGGCTGCAAAGAGGGAAAGAGGGAGGGAGGGAGCCAATGCGAGCAGGGAAATGGCTATGGTCCAGCTTAAATTGTTTCTAGGCTGCCTTTTACTAATGTGTAATGGTGATACATAATGCAATTTAAAAGCAATTATGCAAAGGCACATGTTTAAAAATGTTAACAACTAACAAGCTTTTTTTGGAGAAGTCTCTGACTCAAAAAAGCAGCTGCAGCTCTCCGGAAAGCTGGGAACCCTTAACACCTCTTTGTAGCACTTATCAGATACTGAGCAGAGCATTTTCCCCAGAAAAGGGACGAGTAAGTCATCCGTCAAAGCAAAGAAACAGTGCTGTTCCCACTGCAGCGGTCCAGGAGCCCAAAGGCATCTTGTGGCACCTCTGCCGAAGCACTCTCAGTGGGGCAGCAGAGATCGGTAGGCAGGGAGGGAGAGGCTGCTCTGTCAAGTCCAGCAAGGCAGGCTGAGGATAAATTGGCCTGAGGGAAACAGCTGCTCGCCACATGCTGGAAATGGATTTTGGTATGAAAAAGTTGTTCCAACTCCCACAAATGTTGCCCTCATGACCCAGGCAGCAGCTCCCATAAGAACACAAGCAGCGCCCTGCTGGATCAGACCTGGGCCCAGCTGGACCAGACGTCTGTTCTCTCAGCAGCCAGTCAGCTGCTGTGACTCCCTTGAATCGGTCCAACCCGTTTTTGAAGCCAGCCAAGCACTACATCTCATGGTGACAGATGGATAAGATGCCAGAGCAGCATATTCATCAGCCTGTCCCAAGGCGGGACCTCTTTCCCCTGCACCCCTTCCCAGATAAAGGTGAACAACCCCCAGCCCAGGCAGCCCCACTCAGACCTTAGCTTCGCCATCAGGCAGGAAAAGATAGGCACCGCTCTTGTCCTTGGTACTCCGGGTCCCATAGATGAGGAACTGGCTACTCAGCCGCTGCTCCTGTTTGTCACCAGCATGATGCACACTCTGCAGACAGCAAGCAGAGCACCAGTTAGTGCATCCCCTCCCTCCTGCCCTCCCCCTTTCCCTCCAGCCTCGTCCCATTTGCTGATCACCTTGAGTGAGCCACTCGACCCTGAGAAGCAAGCTCTCATGTGCTGATTCTCCAAGCAGAAATCTTCTGTGGCGGTGGACAGGACCTGGACGGGGAAGGCTTCATGCTTGTGCACAGCAAAGTCACGGCCGTGCAGGAAGAGGCGCACAGAAGATTTCAGTGTGTTGTGGCTGTCAAAAGACTTGATCAGTTGCAGGATGGTGAGGCCCAGCGCCGGCAGGCGTATTATGACAGACACCTGTCGATCAGAGCATAAAACAAGCCGGGCAGCAGCCCTCAGTGCTTCCAGGCCCACCCGTTCCATGCAGCGAAGGTTCAAACCAGAGCAACAGTTCTTCTATAAAGCCTGCAGAAGGGGGGGCGGGTGGAGCCTCTCAGGGAGAAGGCTGGGGCATCCAAGTCCCTCGGGAACCTTCAAGATTGAGACAGAAGCTTTCACACGCTGGAGGAGGCAGATTCCCGTCCACACAAGCTACTGTCCCTCTGGACCTGTGAGTCTTTAAAAAGCTCTCTGTTGGTCTTACAAGACCCGGCAACCCCTCACTTCCCTGCCAATCGCTCCCAAGCTACCTGGAAGACATCGGGCACCATGTCTGTGGCAGACTTCCACTGGGCACTGAGCTGCACGGCTAGGGGCTGCCCTTCCTCATTCAGGACACGGATCCGAGGGGTGTTCACTAGCAGGGACACCACGGTCAGGCGCTCTTGCTCCAGGGGGTTGAACACAACCACAAATCTGTGAGATAGAAGAGAGGTTAGCAAGCTCTGTTCCCTGGCTTCACCAGCAGCAGAACTCAGTTCAGCCTGGCCCCACACTTGGGACCTAGAAACCAGGCAGCTGTCCCTGGCTGGCTGCACCCCCCACCCCCCTTGTCCCACCTGGGTGTGGCATCCAGCTTGATCACCATTTTCTCTGGCAGGGAATCCTGATTGAGACGGGTCTCATCCTGGAAGGAAGAATCAGACTGAGTGCATCCCCAATAGGCCCCCACCCCTCTTATCTAACTCTGTTCCTCCAGGCATAAAGACAGAGGGAGATGGTAGCTCACTGCGCCAAGGAAGGGCACTGCCATGTCATAGTGGTAGGCCTCCTTGTCTGCCAGGACCAAGTAATGGGCAGCATTGATGATGACCCGCTTGGCATTCATCAGGGAGTGAAGCAGCCTGTGATGGAACAAGGAGAAGGTCAACCAGGCACCACGCTGGGGCTCTGCTGCACCTGCCCAGCAGCACAGGTTCATTCCTACCTGACACCATAGTCCACCACCACAGCTTCCTTGGCAGTGCCAGTAATGGCATCGTGATGCTGGAAGAGTCCCAGATTGCGCCGGGCATCTGTGAGCATGGCATAATCGGACAGTGGGTACTTGCTCTCCATGCCAGCATGGCGGGCGTGACTCAGGGCCAAACTGTACAAGATCTCAGCAGCCCTGTGGCAATGGGCAAGGAGGCCATTAGCTGTGCAATGCTGGGAGATGGTTCCCCAGCACAGCCCACCCCCGACAGGCCACTCACCGGAGATGGGCCTCAAGCACTCGGCCCATGCTCTTGTAGAAAGGCCGGGAAGTGTAGTAGCCTGTCCAGTAGTGGTCCTCCCGGTCTGCGTAGGAGAAGAAGTCCCCACTGAGCACTGGGAAGCCAGGCGGGCGTGTGCCTGGGACAACACCCATCTGCTTGTAGAGGGCATCGAAATAGTCTGAGAGCGTCCCAAACTGTGCCTGCAGGAGAGAATGAACATCGTGCTGAGTCTGGGAGCCTGAGGGAGGCACTGCCCAGAAGCAGCCTTCACCCTCGCCTGACCCTCTGTTCCTTTCCCAAAACCAGGCACCACACCTGCACGTGCAGCTCTGGGCGGGCATTCAGGAAGTCAAAGAGACGCTGGTAGTTGAGAAACTGGGCATCCCATTCCTGGGGCTTGTCGTAACGGAAGTCATCTCCCAGGGGCACCAGCAGGACGTTGCTTCGGAAGAGCTTGGACTTCTTCCGGTACTGGTCAAGCAGAAGCTGGGCCCTGGGAAGGGAGCAAGCAGAGCTGGCCAAAAATACCTCTGAGCCTGCTTAGAAGCCAGCGAATGCAGACGGGCACCATGCCTGCGGGCTGAATCACAGAGGGCAAGAAGCCCTGCCATGAGGGAAGCAGGAGAGGGAGAGCAATGCTACAGGTGTGCTGGATAGCTGGGATGGGCACCCAAGTCCCTCCCAGTCACTCACCGCTCAGCAACATTGCTGTTGGTGATGGCCTTGGGAGGGACTTTCCAGGGGCAGTTGATGCGCCCGCCTGGCAGCCTCTTGAAGTCAAACTGGCAGCAGATTTTCGGGTCAGGCCCACAAGTATGAGGCACGTCATAACTGTAGAAAGGCATCATGTGGCAGAGGAGGTCTGTGCTGGAGTCTGGATCTGGGAGGGCAAAACCAGAGTGGGATAACGCTCCTGTCAACACAACTGGCCCCTGCAGATCACGCTTGGGTGGCGCGCAAGGACCAGCGAGCCTAGCCCCACCCAGGCTGACGTGGGAGGCAATACAAGCCAGGGCTGCTGGGGGAGGAAGGGGAGCTCCTCCCTCACCCCAGCTCTGCCTCCAAAGGAACTCAAGGTTCTGGGTAGCTGCGAAGTGCTTCTTGACGGCATAGTGGACACGCTGGATGAGCATGCTGGTCAGATTAGCCCGGCGCAGGAGGTAAGGCATTGTGGCACTGTGACCAAAGGGATCCACTGCCCAGCCGGAGCGCGGCATCACCCCTGCCGAAGAGAGAGGAGTCACTGCCTAGGCCAGCCTTCCCAACCTCCTTCCCAACCCTTAAGCCCCCAGCCTTCCCTGCCGCCCAAGGACAGATGTTCCAAGGTCCAAGGCAGCCTTTCCAAGGCAACAGGACACTTCAAGACATTTTACCTCCTCCCCCACCAGATCAAGGAATGGTTGCTTTGCATGATGCCCTGGTTTCCACCTTCCCTTCAAAAATGTAATGGCCAGTTGAATATAGTCCAAACCACCCCTTTTAAGCTAAAATAGAACTTCCACAATCCAAATCCTTACATCAACAATTATCAGCCACTCCTTTGAGTATGGATGAGAACATAAAAGCAATTCTGGGTATGAGCACTAGGACTAGATGGATTTTCTATGGAATGGTATAAACATTTAATTTTTATACTTGCTCTTAAACTCCATCAACCGTACAGTGAGATTTTGAATGTGGCATTTTATCTTCTTTTTTCAATGAAGCATATATCACACATACTAAAAGCTAGTAAAGATTATACATTATATGTAAGCTATTGTCCTGTTTCATTGATTAATGTGGACATAAAATGTTAACTGCTGTTCACCAAGTGCTTTCTTCAGTAGACAAGAATGATAATATTTGCCTACTAGTGGATTTGATTGATTTGTACAAAGACAAAGCTGCAATTTATGGCTTGAATGAGAAAAAGCTTTTGATAAAACGTATAGACAGTGTATGTATGTTCCCTTAGGTGAATTTAATCTTCCCCAAGGACTTATAAAATTGTGGTGGTAGATTATACATGTAGCTCAAGGGTAGAGTGTTGGTTTGTAGGGGTTTTTTTTGAGATTTGTTGGTTAGTTGTGAAATGTATAATTGCCTATCCTACGAGCCTTGTATGTGATAGGATGGGCTGTGCTGTTGGGTGTTGTTGTTTCTGTGTGACTGATGCACCACCTGGTTCTTGTTATGTTGATGTGGTGCCAACTCCTCCTTACTGGTGTTAACAGTTGTGTGACAGAAGGGGATACCATTATGATCTATACTGTTTTCCCTTGTTGACCTTCGTGTATTTCTTTTGAAGAGTCCACAGATGGTGGTCTATGTCTATGTGTTTCTTGACTGCTAATCTGTTGGACTGCCAGGCCACTGCATTCTTTGACAAGAGTTAGAATTTCAACAGCCTCCCAGTTGAAGTAATGGTTGGGCTTGTCTGGGGACAGTGAAATTTAATGAAGTTTCAGTGTCTTCTAATTGCCAACTGTTGCTCAATGTGTTGCGCTAACCTCTTTCTTTGTTCCAGAAAGTGGCAATCACAGTCTATGGAATTATTTTGTAAATGACTCCTGCTCTGTCTTCTGGGGATGCAAGGTTCTTGGGTTTGGTGTAATGGTTAAGGCAGCAGGCTAGAAACTGGGAGACTGTGAGTTCTAGTCCCGTCTTACACGTGAGGCCAGCTGGGTGACCTTGGGCCAGTCATACTTTCTCAGCCCTAGGAAGAAGGCAATGGCAACCACTTCCAAAAAACCTTGCCAAGAAAACTGCAGGGAATTGTCCAGGCAGTTGCCAGGATTCTGTGTGCAGCCCTCAAATTGAAGGTGAAAATCAACAGTCTTTTTCCATCTACTTTTTCACTCTACAGTCCTAGACAAAGTTGTCCACTTCCTTCCTTGACTTTTGATTTGGTTCAAACCCTTGTGCTACTGGCAAGACAGTAACAGCTGTGGTAACTTGCATAACTCATTAGAATATACAGGTAGCCCTTGGTTAACAACCACTTGTTCAGCGACCGTTCAAATTTACAATGGCACTAAACAAGGGGACTTATAACAGGTTCTCACAGTTGCAGCTGTTGCAGTGTCCCTGTGGTCACATGCCTACAATTCAGGCACAGGTAATTACAACGGTTGCAGCATCCTGCAGTTATGTAATCACCATTTGTAACCTTCATTGGTGGCTTCTGACATGCAAAGTCAATGGAGAAGCCAGCAGGAGGTCACAAATAGTGTTCATGTGACTGTGGAACACTGCAACTGTGCAGGATTCATCTAACGACAGCAACTGGAACCGCTGCAACTTCCATCATAGGTCAACATGGTCACATGACTTCACACTTTACAACCGTGTTGCTCGGCGATGGAGTAGCCAGTCCCAATTACAGTCAGTAAGCAAGGACTACCTGTAAATTGTTATTATATGCTGATAGTATTTTCTTTTTATTTTTGAACTTCATACTTCAATTCCTGCTCTGATGCATCTGGTTAGCATGTTTGGGCAAACTGAAGGATACTTTAGTGTGTAAAGTTGAGAGAGCTGTGGCAAGAAAAGTCTCTCATTCCCCTGGCCAGTCGGGAGGCTTTGCTTTCCTGAAGAGGTCAAGACAGAAGTATCAGATGCTGGACAGGTGATTTTATCTTCAATTGCTGCTGGCCACTGGCTATGAGGGAAGCATTCACCCCCTGGCTCAGCTGGATCTGCAACTAAATCACTGGAGATCAGTTAGGAGCTGAAGCAACAGACCTTGGCATGGCCCTGAGGGGCCCCTCTTGGCTTCTTCCACCAATAGTTATTTTTGCCTAGTGGGGCTGAGTCAGTTATAGAGTCTAGCCGATTTGTGCTTTCTGCTTCTCCATTCTTAATTTTAATATGGGGGAAAGATCCAAAATGTTCTCCGGTCAGAACTTTTTGCTCACGTGGAGTGGGCAGCCATGCTTTTTTTCCTTTTGGGATACTCTCTAGTCCTATCACTGTAATAGCAGCAGGCAGAGGCTGCCTGTCTTTGACCTCACCCGTCCAGTTTTAGAATTCTTATCCATTATACAAGTTTAATAGCATTTGTTTCCCACCAGTTCTTTCCTTTTTTTAAGACACACATGTTGGAGTTCTAAATTTTGTTGCTGATAGTCCTTCCTTTTTATTCTCATATACTGGGCTACCCTTCATATTAAGTGCCTCCTCCTCATCTCACAAATCAGAGAGTCTCTGGTGGCACCTTTTCAATGTTATTAAAATGCATAAGCTTTCGTGAGCTATGTGGCTTTCATGGAGGTAAGAGGAAGAGCAGGGCACAATGAACTCCCTCCAATAAGAACACCGATGGGAGGAACCCAGGCTAAACAGAAACCAGTAGATTATATATTCATAGCTCCAATTTCTTCTCCTGAGTCAGGTATCTGGTGATGTTCCAGTTTGAATGAAGAGTGACCACCTCCCCTTAACCTTACAGCTCACAGAAGACCACATGTACCCCCTTATGCTCCTCAACAAAAGACAGGGTGCAAGTCTAATAAGTAATAATGAAAAAATAAATGTGAGTCAGAAGAGATTGAAATGGTCAGAGGTGGTTGTAGGTGCAGTGCAAAATGCCTTACAGGGTGCAAGGATGATGTATTGGAAAGCTACTGCCTTGTCATATTCTGATGCCTTCAGGGATATTTATGATTGGTGTTCAATAACTTAAAACTGTATTTGTGTAAACCAGCTCAAATTCCAAAAGCCTTCGTTTGACCAAAACTGCAGTTACATCAGGACAGACGACTAATTCTTTACAGAAAGCAAAGGCACATAGTGGATAAATGTCAAGTTTAAAAAAAAAAAAGTGGGAATACACAGTCTGGCAGGAATTGGAGAGGGCATACAATAATCATAATAAATTGATTTAGATAAATAAATAAATAATGAAAAATGATTTGGGGATTTAATTTCCCACGAATCTAGAGAAGGCAGAACCCCAACAGAAACACTAGATGGTTTTACAGTTCTAACAAATCTTTGTAGAGCAGATGGAGAATATCTAGGAAAAGCTGGAGAATCTTTTAGAGCAGGAGGGAATCTCCTGGTTACAGGAGAAGAAAGTTTACACATGGTGTAAGGATACAAGTATGCAAATGCCTATTGATTGAGCTGGAACACTGCCCCAAAAATCCGAATAAACGGGGGAGTAAGACAGGGATGCATTTTGGCTCCCTTCTTCTGTTTTTACATCAGCACTATTATAATGAAGTTTTCCTTTCCTCCTTTTTTCCCCGCATCCTGGGTAAATAGAAAGTTTCTATACAATTGCAAGCAGATGACAGAACACAACCTGCTACGCTCCTGTGTCACTGGGGTAATGTCATGGTATGTGGGAATGACCTTGGGAGACAGGAGGAAGAGTCGCAGACTAGGCAACAGTCAGATAAGAGGTAGCTGAGCCCACAGAAGGAATGGGGGTGCGGCAAACATCTCAGAAGGGAACTCCCTAGTTTCTTGGACTGTAATGGTGAGGGGGGAGAGATTACTGTCAGACTTGCAAGATTCTGTTAATGTAACCTTACAAAAGTTACAGCTAGTACTTCTGTGTGTGCTTCTTGTCTGGACTACCTCGCAAGGCTGACAAGTTTTCATTATTATCGTTATTGTTATTATATTTTTATCCCACCTTCTCTCTCTCTCGATAAATTGATAAATCGATAAATCTATGGAGAGAGAGAGAGAGATAAAACTCAAGGTGGCGAACATACCTATGGCAGAGCTGAGTGGCTATTCGACTATTCCAAGACAGAAATTGTTGTATTTGCCAAAAAGCCAAAAGACATAAATGGGTTCTTAATTGAAATAGATGAATATTAATTTCTCACAGGTTCTGTCCTGGAAATATATTATTCATATATTAAATGCAAAGATCCACGGAAGCTGCTCTTGCCCCTTCTCCAAAAAAGGCTGAAATAAAGATCTTCAAATGGGAAGGGGACTCTCTACATGGAGTGGAGATCTGGAGATGGAGGCCATAGAATACATTGGAAGCCATTCAGAAGAAATACGTAAGAGGCATCTGCTTCCCCACTGCCTTGCTGAGAATGGAAGTGGGTCTTCTGCCCATTACGATCCTCCTCTGACATCACAGATTGGTTGATATGCCTGATTCGCCCCTAGCTAAATAATCTCTATATTGGTGGTACATATGTTTATTCATGTTGACTTTGTTTGGAAGCTTTATTAACTTTAAATATACAGTACCTGTCTCAAGGATGAGACTTGTGGCTGAGCTGTCTTTCCTGTGTTGGTTTTGCAGGAATGGATGAGCCTTGACACTTGTTGGGCAGGCAAGCTGTTGCCAATGGAGGCAAACCTTGCCTGCGCATCCTGCTCCCCACGGCCTGAGGTGGGTCAGCCTCTCTAATCAAGAAAACACAGACTCTCCCATGGAAGGTCTTCCTCCTGAAGCAAAATTGCAGAAGGGCTCAAAAGCCACCTTTCTGACTGTTTGCTTCTCTCTGATACAATATCCTGAATTACAGATAGCAGCCTGAGAGCTACTGGAGTGTCCCCAGGTACAAAGATAGGATTTTTCCCAAATGGCACAACTCCCCTACCCAGTGATACCGTCACCAGTACTTCTGCCTGGCCCTAGCACACAGTTGGCCTTGGCCATAACACTCACCAATGTTCTTCTCAAGCCACTGATGCCCTTCAAGGAGCTGGTCAATCATGGCAAAATAGTGGGAATTAGCTTCATCTGGCATCACCCAACCTCCTGTAGCCATCTCTAGCTGCCCATTCCCTATAAGCCTGCGAACAAGAGATCTGTGTCAAAAACTCTCCAAAGTAGGGGAGTGCAAAAACATTTCAAAACGTTTGAATGTTCAAAAGGTTTTGAGTTCAAAATGGGTTGGTCCAACCATTTCCAAAGTGTTTCATTCAAAACAGCCCCATTATAAGTTCATTTAAATTCAAAACTTTCCTGGAATGGTTGGAACATTGTGCTTTAAAGCTGAAACAGAGCATTTTGAGCTAGAAATGTTCATGGGTGAAACGTTTGCACCATCCTGCCCACTCAAGCAACAGACTAGATATTCTTTGAGAGTGATTCAAACTTTTAAAAATTGGTCAAAATATCTCAGAACAAAACAACATCCAGAGACAGATTGTACCACATGGTTAATTATAAAATACAGTTAACAGATCACAATGGCAGTATTCACATAATACCCAAGCCAGACAAACTCCCTTATGGCTTAACATGATGGCCTGGTTCATGCAACATGTTAAGACACAGCAGTATGGTGCCAAAGAAGGAATGGTCATACAGGAGGATGAAGTGAAAGTTTTGGGATAAATGAAAGAAACTTGTGAAGGTCAGTGAAAGTGGAGGTAAATGGAAGCGAATGGAGATCTTGACAGAAAATTTAAGTGGTGGAGTTGAAGCCCTGGGTCCTTGCTGTGGAGGAATGAGAAGAGGTGGTGGGGGAAAAGCAAGAACTAGGGCTGGTTGGACATTGCAGGCCCCCGGAAGAAGGCTCAGCAGGGAGCACGCAGCAACAGCATGCAGCAGCAAGGTGTGACAGTGGGGCCTGGAGCTGCTTTATCGAGGGAAGCAGCACTGATGGTGGAGAGGAGGGAGAATCAAGACAGGGCAGCTGAAAGGTGCTGGAGGTCAGGTAGGAGTGACTGCTCCATGCAGTATTGTGCTGCAACAGATACTGAAGGTAGCAGAAGGAGGGTCAGAAATTTAGGATAGTTTTTTTCTTTTTTGATGCAAGCGGTGTGACTGCCAAGGCTGGGCATATCTGCTGGAGTGGCCACCATCCAGACACTGGCAGCCTCCTTTGGACACTATCATCATCATCATCATAATAAAAAGTTTATTACAGTCATAGACCAATACAACTAAAAATGCACATAACATGTCTACTTAAATATCGTACCAAATCGATTCCACTCAGCAAGGCCCCCTGACTCTCAAAGTAGTATTTTCAGGTCTCTTTGGGAACTCTTAATGCAAACTAAAATACTAGTTGGCTATAATCCATTACTGCAAAACCTTTCAGCAGCTT